TCCTTATAAGACACAATATGCGGACGTCAATGTTGAAGATGAAGTGGATTTGATATCGATCTGGATTATTTTTCAAAGTAGGGTTTTGTGATAACTAATCGCATTTGAAATTACTGGTTTCATCGGGTAAAACTAGCCGCACACATGTAGCTTTTTAATCTCGGTGAATGAATAATCGGCCGCTGTTGTTTCAAGCGCATACTGTCAACTACACACATCGGAAAAGTCTAGGGATATTTTTATAACATCATAAATATCATAAAAATAAATGCATGAAGTCGTTTAATTTCGATTAAATTGGTACACTCGACCACCCTGTAGATTTCTATGGGTTGAACAAAGCCTGCAAAAACGGTAACTAATCTTTTATCAAGTTTTTTACAAACTGTAGGTTTTCGGCTAAAATGAATAATCTGAAAGTGTCGAGTTTGTACATTCTATGCAGTTCTTGCTCAGCAATTAAACTGGAAATATTGTGCTTTAACATGGAACGCCATCACTTACCATTGGCTGAGATGAATAGAGCTGTAGGGCTTCTTCAAGGTGGCATGCGACAAAATGATGTAGCTCTTCGTTTGGGGGTCTCCCAAAGTGTTATCAGTCGATTGTGGCGGCGTTTCCGTGAAACTGGCAGTCCAGCCGAATAACATCCAGGGCGAGGACGCGCTACAACTGCAGTTCAAGACCGATTTTTGGTCTTAACCGCAAGAAGACAACCGACAATCACAGCACCGGAGTTGGTTAACTTGTTGCAGCAGACGCACCAGGTAACCATTGGTCGTGATACTGTCTGAAATCGACTGCATGAAGCAGATCTCCACAACAGAAGGCCACCTAGATGACCACATTTGTCGAGAGGCAATCGCGGTAGAAGATTAGAGTGGTGTCAAGAACATCAAAACTGGGATGCAAATGATTGGGCCACAGTTTTGTTTACAGACGAATCCAGATTTGGATTTCATCCAGATTCTCGTCGAGTAAGACTGTGGAGACGACCTGGAAATAATGAACGTTTGAGACACGTCCAGGAAGTCCACACATACAGAGGTGGTACAGTAATGCTATGGGGCGGAATCATGATCGGCGGCAGAACCGATCTCGTTTTTCCAAATCGCTCCCTCACAGCTCGACAGTACCTCGACACCATTCTTCTACCTATCATCCATCCGTTTGCTGGTGCTGTTGGTGAAAACTTCCACCCAATGCACGATAATGCTCGTCCACATGTCGCGCGTCTAGTGACTGACTGGCTCACCAACGAAGGAGTTGATGTATTGCCATGGCCAGCACAATCACCGGACCTGAATTCCATCGAGCATGTGTGGGACATGCTTCAACGAAGAATTACTCCGCATATGGGGAACATTCACACAACGTTTCAATTGAGAGAGCTTTTAATCGCTAAATAGGCAAATGTACCTCAACAAGACATTGACAATCTCATTTTGTCAATGCAAGATAGATGTAGGGCCGTAATAAACCAGCGTGGAGGCCATACTTTGTACTGATTCCAATTTTTTTTGTATTATGATTTTTTTTCGGGGTGCCAAAGAAGAGCCATATTTTTTTTTAGTTTTGCTTATATGCGCACTCAGTATTTTTGACCATTCAATAAATTTTGTTGTAAGTTACATTCGTTTAATAATCACCCGTCAACTTTTTTTTCCTAAAGCGATCTAAAAAAAATATTGCCATTTTTAAAAATATCCCTAGACTTTTCCGATGTGTGTAAATAGTTGTTTGAGATCACATTCAATTAATTGATTGTGAAAAAACATCACTGCATAGTGTAAAAGAAAGTCGTTTCCCGCTGTCTGTCCGTATGTATGCTTAGATCTTTGAAACTACGTAACGGATTTTAATGTGTTTTTTTTAAAATAGATACAGTGATTCATGAGGAAGGTTTATACAGGGTGTCAATTTGAAAACGTCACCCCCTAATATCTTTCTTCCTACTCGTAGACTTCGTGGTTCAACCCCCTAGGAGGGGAAGATGTTACCCTTAGAATTTTAAATGTGAAGGGGGTCAAGTGGCACATCATTTGGCGTTCAATTCTGCTTCCAATGGTACCCTGACTTATTATTTTTTGATGAGCATTTTCCGAAAAATAGGGTTCTAAACCAAGAGAAGTAATTATCAGTACAGTTTGTCAAGAATAGGAAAAAGGGTGAAATTTTTGAGGCCTATGCGTAACGAAGAGTCATAAAGCATTCGGAGGAACAAAGATGCACATATTTGCGATTAAAGTTGTCTCTGCTTAGTGTAGATGTACAGTATCCTGAATAAACTGCTTTTCTTCTCGAAATTTTTATAATAATAATAATGCGGTCTCGGCCTATATCCATCGACATAACGCGGCCTTAAGAGTGCTACATTACCATCTACGGCACTCTTACGGTATTGACGAGACACCGGTGTTGCCCTACGCTCCGGGGGATATTGAATCCGTTGTGGGAAACGAGAAGTGCCAAATTTAATGGAACTATTCGTTCCCTACCCTCAGGCTCATACAAGCTAATAAGCGTGATGTAGTCCTTCTCGATCACCAGAGCAAAACGATATTTGTCGTGGAGTTTTCAGCTTCTGGCGAGACGAATATCGTCAGAAAAGAGGAGGAAAAACGGATAAAATATCGAGATTTTCTCCTCGAACTCCGCAGACTCTATCCAGATCACTCTGTCAAGATGGTTGTTCTGATTATTGGAGTCCTTGGTGGAATGATGTCCTCTCTACTCTCGAATCTCAAAATCATATCTGCTTGCCGCACTGAGGCAGAAATCTTAGTGGCACAGATGCAGAAGGCTGTCATTCTTGGCTCACTGTGTTTGCTCAGGGCACATGATTCTCGTACCCAATGATCTACCCCACGGTGTGGGGAGTGGTCATTGGTTGATAATGCTGGCGCGCCCTCCCAAATGTATCGGGGCTGACCAGCGCACACGACGGTGAAAATAAAATTAATAATAAATCTTCGAAGCAATCCTTTATCAAAACCATCTAAGTAGGTTTCATCTGCGGCTTCCTTTCTTATTATATTTGGTGTCAAAAAAGCAGCGGCTTCTCCATTCTCAATCGATTTTATTTCCTTCGAAATTTTTTCTAAACTGCTTAAACTTACGCCAGTTGCCATATCAGCTCTGTCTTGAACTTTTTTAAAGTCCTTTATAGATTTATTTTCTGCCGCTTCTCGTTGCATAAAAAAATTACATTGACTATCACTTCCCTCGTTTGACTTGTCAGCACTTTACAATACAGGTTTGATTTAAACTCCATCCTGCTTAAATTATTATACTCAAATTGTCCCCTTTATGCTTTATTTTTGCTCGGACTGTACACTTGGTTAACCCGCGATGCTCACTTCACAACAGACAAATTCATCTGACTGGGCTGGGCACTCCTATCTACTGCGCACAGCTAAGGTGGTCTTAAATTAAGATTTTGAAACTTTTTCCTATTCTTGACAAACTGTACGCCTATACTGAGATGCATGGTTTGACTAGAACTGGTAAGAATATTGGGTGATATCGTTCCAACCCTTTATTAGGGGTAACATCAGCCATTAGCTTCAATGTTTTAAGCTGATTTGTTTAATTTTATTGAATCTTGCAGGGATTTCAAATCCCTGGAAATTCCAAATCCCAATGGAAGTCCGAACTGATGAAATGCGGCTCCAATTAATTTACATCAAAAAGTATTATAATAGCAAACCGTATATTGTAGTAAAGTTGTGTTAAGTAAACGCTGAATTTTCAGTTCTCATCGCAGAAAATGTAGAGATAGCCGTCCTTTTTTTCTAGGTCTGCTGTAAAAAGTTTCTGTTTTCAGGCAAAAAACTGGTTCGCAAATTTGATCGATGTACATACAGTTGTACCTACTTGTTGGGCTGTTTAGTGATTAGATACTTTAATAAGTGTATAAAAGTGTAAAAATGGTTACCATTCTTCGAGATAGAATCAAAATGATTTATAATTTATGGAGAAGTTGGAAAGTGCGCACGAAGGGCGGCATGTCTTTTTAACGAAAGACATCCAAATTGTAATGTAAGTCACCGGTATGTGCTTGATTTGGTGAATAAGTTTTATGAAACTAGTTCAGTCACAAATAAAAGGAAAAGTAACCCCATAGTACTGAATGAAGCAGCTATAATTGAAGTTTTGGGAACATTTACTGCAGAGACCAAGAGCTCCAAAATCAGAACAGACGGGAATGTCACGCGAAACTGTAAAAAAAGCATTGAAAATGCATTTAAAGCATATTTTGAATTTTCGAAACTACATCGTATGTAATAATTCGAAAGAATTGATATTCCCAGCCAAGCATTCAAATATAGTTCTCATATTGATTCATTTCTATTGTACTGACACTTATTTAATGGCATAAATGCGAGCGAAGCCGAGAGTGAAAGCTCGTATAAATACATATGACAGTTTCTTAAAAAAAATAAAATGAATGTTGTAAGTTATCCTTAAAAGATAGACACATGCTATCGCGGACTTATCTGTGTAGTCTTATAAAAGAGGAATAACAATGAATTGTTTTGTTACTGGAGTTTTCCCAACACCAAAAAAAAGATTTGGTGTTGGGAAAAAACTCCAGTAATATTCATTACTACACCAAAGGTTCCAAACAGTATATCACAAGTAAATTGTTTTGTTGAATCTTGAAGAAATCAGGCACCGTTCTCGCATGGATTCCATCGTCATATTTCAATCAATTTGCGTGAAAAGTTTATGGAAGTCACACACAAACCGTCTCTTGAGTCACTTTGTTGTTGGTGGAAACCGGATGTTACTTCAGTCATCGAAATTATTGAAGATATTCCAAATCTTGTATATGGTTATCAAAACAAACAAAAAGTTGTCATCTGATTTCCGAAAAAAAAAACGAAGTCAACTTTCCAACTGTTCAGCACGGAAGAATAATTTCCATCAAGCGAAAACATGCGATTTGCCAAAAAATCGAATATTTTTAGAAGTAAAAAAAATGAAACTGTACTCACTTCTCTGACAGGTGATGATAATGGAATACAAACAGGTATCACGAATGTGGTTTATTGGAATGGTGCAAATGAATATTATCTAATCCTGACTTTTGTGATATGGCGTCAAGAAACAATACGACGCACTTGAAAATGTATCATTATATAAGCGCGGCTATTGATACTCGTACCGAACAATATTTATTATCGCCTTGTGGACCATCTTGAAAGACTAAGTTCACTAGTTTTAAAATAACCCGGTCTACCTATGTCTACGACATAAACAAAGGTTTCAGCATGCTCTCGCTCTATCCCATTTATATATTCTAATCAGCTAAAAATAATTTGGAGCAGGCTTAGGATTTAAAAATAAAAATCGAACACCTTAAAGTAACAAACACTACATAAGAAACAGTGGAAAGGGACATATGGAAACGCGTTTCTCGCCAATGAAAGCCAGATAGACGATCTAGAGAACGAATCGATTTGGATTGAAAGATTTATTGTTTTGTCCGGCTTGACACACAGATTCAAAACAAAAATAAAGCGCTCAACGGAACATACACAAATATCACAATATTTATTTATGCTTGGCAACTTGGCAAACAAGAAACTTAACGATGTCATAGAAATAATATCGAAGAAATTGTTGAAACTCTCTATTACCCTTCGAAATACAAGACTTCAGATTGTTCTGCGTTCCCACTAAAACAATAAGAGATTGAGAAGGGATTGGAAACATACAAAATTTCCATATTTTTCCACGATCTTGTAGAAGATCATATTTTTTCATTCTCCAAGACTCTTTCGGAAAGGTCAATGTTTCACCAGATCTACGTGATTGATAGGAATGTCTGCACTCTTTGTTCCTTCATCAGAATAATCAAAAAATATCTGAACAGAGAAATGGCCACCTATTTTCAAGCACTTGCTTGTTTTTCACCACGGACTTTGCAATGGACTGAGAAATTAAAGGATTACCACAATACTGTAGGGAGGTATTTTCTTTTTTTTTTCGTACCTTGGGAGCTGTCTGACTTGTCCATTCACTCCAAGTCTCCAGAAAATACTGCTCCCATCTTCTCATGATACTCATTCCTTCAGTCTCGTTCCCTATTTTGTACAGGTTTCGTGTTGGATGTTCGTCATATCCTTCTGGACGTAATTTCGTACGTGCATATTTTGCCTGCCTCCTGTGATTCAGTGCCTCACATTCGAATAAGATGTGTAGAGCTGTTTCTATCCCTTCGTTGCATAATCTGCAGCTGAGGTATCCTTTGTACAGCCCCATTTTATTCAGGTGTCTTCTTAGCGGACAGAGGTATTTCCTTAGTATTCACAACAGTTTGGGGCCTTCTTTGAACATAATGTATTTCTGTCTTGCTTTTTTTTGGCCTAGACAACTTTCACACCGCTCATTTTTTTTCGTAATTACATCAGCTTTAAGATGAAAAAATGAAAATATAATACTTTGAGCAAAAAAAATCGTTTAAAATGCAGAAAACTGAAAAATTGTACTTTTTTTCGTGATTTGTTTCATATTATGTAATTAAACGGTTTTTAAATTTTTTATTATTTACAACTTTCTTATTGAACTTTTTTCTCTAAAACAACTATTTTGGCCGCAAACCGCGAAAAACCGTTTTTCACCCCCACCCCTCCGCCCCTGCAAACATTCAGCTGTTGAATTTCTGCCCTAATATTACTGACTACCTTTCCAACCCATTCCCGTTGAGTTTGCCCTGTAAGGAATTTTTTCCTAAAAGAAATATAGTACGCCTGACCTATTTGAACAACGACGTATTTTGCATTGCTGTGTATTATATCACAAAATTCTACTCACAAAAAAACCTTCATATCTCTACTCAAAAATTCAGAAGCGTTCTGAAGCACACAACCTAAATGTCCGGTTTCGACAGAAATTATTTGTACCCATGCACAACACTTCGCTTTACCGATCTTGCTTCTCCTATGGCATTGCTAAAATCTACAATTGTATCCCTGATGATTTCAAAACCTTGTCAATCTTTAATTTCTAGAAGAAGGTTAAAGGTCTCTTGCTGAATGGTACTTAACAATAGACTTCTTATTATATTGATGAACTTATGTGAAATTCATTGCACTTGTGACATAATTATTATATTTATTTATATTGATATGTAAATTATTTTTCATTTGTACCATGTTTATGAGTAGGTATATTCTTTTTTTTTCTGGAGGGACCAGGAGCGAACGATGCCATTTGCTGCTCATTATTAATTAACCTTGTTCTCTGTAACTGCTGTTTGTGTAGCAATAAAAAAATTTATTATTATTATAAGTCGTTGATATACAATAAAAAGAGGGTTGGAGACAATATGGATCCCTGGGGAACACCAGCGTTGATGGTGAAAGTACTCGAGAGATATCTATCGACGACTACTTACAGGGAACGTTCTTTTAGGAAGCTGGAGAGCCAAACACAGAAATGATCCGATAAGCCATAGCAAGTAGACTACTATACTTTTTCTATGACTAACAACAACAATATTTTAAAATAAGATTCAGTGAATACATGAATGAAGAAGATTGGTTCTATTGTTAATATATTTTGTTGAAATGGTTATACTGCTTTCATGTTAATTGACACAACTTAAAAAAAACACGTAAAACTAAGTTTTTTGTAAGAATAAGAATATTGTATGTCAACAATATAAAACAATATAACAAAAATTGTATTGAAAGTGAAAATCATCAAAATCTCGAGTTGTTTTTGAAGATTTTCGAAAGAAACTCTTCGTTGAATCGGCCAAGATAAGGAATTCAATTCGCGATTTTTCGACGTAACCGCCAGACTTGTAGTTGGTATTTCTCTTCTCGAAACTCCATTTTCGATAAAATCAGACATTCAACCACAGAAACATCCCTGAATCAACATGTTCTGAAACGTGCCTTCCGTGCAAGCAATATACCTTGCCGCCAGTGCACTAAATCGAAAATCAATATGCTAAACTACCTCATTTGACTCTCTTTTTCCTTACATGTCATAAGTTCTGTCTTTTAAGTAGGTCGAAATTTGAGCCAAGAATAGGATGACATTTTTTATCGCGTACGAATGAGATTGCGGAAAAGAATTAGCATGAGCGGTTCGATTTCCCATTTCAAAGGGTGGATAAACCAGAAATGAAAATGTCTTTGATGGGAGAGATACATAGGTCTGTTCAAAAAATAAGGTGAATTTTCATTTTTCACTACACTACAGAGCCTGTTAGGAAGTCCAAAGACAAAGTCGAGAATTCGGAAAAGTCTGGAATTTAGGAAATTAATTTGCGATGCAAAATATGGACAGACAAAAAGATATATTGAAATAAGATATAAAGAACACTTAGCACACTCAAAATATGGAAGATGGAAGACCTGAAAAATCAGCAGTCGCTTATCAAATTTTGCAACGAAACCATTCCAGAGACTTCAGTTTATCAAGATTAGTTAGACAAGTTAACAACAACAGGCATCTAGATCCTATGAGAGTGTAAAAATAAGTAAACATTATAATATACCTATGAGTAACGATGGTACACCAATACCTAATACTACACACATCGGAAAAGTCTAGGGATATTTTTATAACATACTAAATATCATAAAAATAAATGCATGAGGTCGTTTAATTTCGATTAAATCAATACACTCGACCACCCTGTAGATTTCTATGGGTTGAACAAAGCCTGCAAAAACGGTAACTAATCTTTTATCAAGTTTTTTACAAACTGTAGGTTTTCGGCTAAAATGAATAATCTGAAAGTGTCGAGTTTGTACATTCTATGCAGTTCTTGCTCAGCAATTAAACTGGAAATATTGTGCTTTAACATGGAACGCCATCACTTACCATTGGCTGAGATGAATAGAGCTGTAGGGCTTCTTCAAGGTGGCATGCGACAAAATGATGTAGCTCTTCGTTTGGGGGTCTCCCAAAGTGTTATCAGTCGATTGTGGCGGCGTTTCCGTGAAACTGGCAGTCCAGCCGAACAACATCCAGGGCGAGGACGCGCTACAACTGCAGTTCAAGACCGATTTTTAGTCTCAACCGCAAGAAGACAACCGACAATCACAGCACCTGAGTTGGTTAACGTGTTGCAGCAGACGCACCAGGTAACCATTGGTAGTGATACTGTCAGAAATCGACTGCATGAAGCAGATCTCCACAACAAAAGGCCACTTACATGTCCACCTTTGTCGAGAGGCAATCGCGGTAGAAGATTAGAGTGGTGTCAAGAACATCAAAACTGGGATGCAAATGATTGGGCCACAGTTTTGTTTACAGATGAATCCAGATTTGGATTTCATCCAGATTCTCGTCGAGTAAGACTGTGGAGACGACCTGGAAATAAGGAACGTTTGAGACACGACCAGGAAGTCCACACATACAGAGGTGGTACAGTAATGTTATGGGGCGGAATCATGATCGGCGGCAGAACCGATCTCGTTTTTCCAAATCGCTCCCTCACAGCTCGACAGTACCTCGACACCATTCTTCTACCTTTCGTCCGTCCGTTTGCTGGTGCTGTTGGTGAAAACTTCCACCTAATGCACGATAATGCTCGTCCACATGTCGCGCGTCTAGTGACTGACTGGCTCACCAACGAAGGAGTTGATGTATTGCCATGGCCAGCACAATCACCGGACCTGAATCCCGTCGAGCAAGTGTGGGACATGCTTCAACGAAGAATTATTCCGCATATGGGGAACATTCACTCAACGTTTGAATTGAGAGAGCTCTTAATCGCTGAATGGGCAAATGTACCTCAACAAGACATTGACAATCTCATTTTGTCGATGCACGATAGATGTAGGGCCGTAATAAACCAGCGTGGAGGCCATACTTTGTACTGATTCCAATTTTTTTTGTATTATGATTTTTTTCGGGGTGCCAAAGAAGAGCCATATTTTTTTTTTAGTTTTGCTTATATGCGCACTCAGTATTTTTGACCATTTAATAAATTTTGTTGTAAGTTACATTCGTTTAATAATCACCCGTCAACTTTTTTTTTCTTAAAGCAATCTAAAAATAAATTATTGCCATTTTTAAAAATATCCCTAGACTTTTCCGATGTGTGTATATGTCTTGTTGGATACCTTCAAAATGTCTAGTCAACCTACCTTGGATACCCAGACAGGAGATTATCTTAACTGTTGATTTTATGAAAGAGACTCATTTATTTAATGGATTGGATCGAAAACAAGGAACAGCAATAATAAGTCTGGCTCCAAATTAGAGCCCTGGAGGACCCCCGAAGTAGAAATAAAGCGAAAGTAGAAAGTGATGAAAGGCTTTTCTGATATCAGTGCATATGACATCAACTTGTTCCGTTGAATCGTGATTATAAAATATATAGTCCGTGTTAAACTCGCCATATAATGTTATTTGATCTTTTGGACATGAATCCATGCTGATTTGGTGTTATTATCATTATCTCAGAGTTGAATATTTGCGAAACAGTTGTTTTCCAATCTGAAGACGGTAGATTTAAATCTCCAAAACTCTTTCTTCAATGAGCAAATATGAGAAAAATATCTTCTATTAGCAAATATTAGAAAAATATACTGATTTCATGCAGTAAATTATCGGGGTAAACTGGAAGTTTGCCCTTATTTCTATGCCTGTATAAAGTTACCAATATCAATTTTTTTTCTTCACATTATGGACAGTCAATCCTCAGAAATTGTTCAATTTCAATATTACTAATATGGCGGCTCAATGGTCTAGGGGTATGATTCTCGCTTTGGGTGCGAGAGGTCCCGGGTTCAAATCCCGGTTGAGCCCAATTTTTTTCATGTAGATTCGATGTCATCAGATTGATATGAAGTAAACTGACTATTGACATAGTTGCAATCATTTTTTCAGTCGGATAAGCAGATATTTTCAATTTCATTATTGTGAGTAAGAGAAACATGGTTCACAACAATCAGGTATTAATGTTTTATTGATATTTGGAAAAAGTATTAAATTGATTTTGAAAAATGATACGATGGTAAAAAATTAGGATGAGATGTGTAATCTAAAAGCTAATGACTGATTTGTAGGGGATACTTTGAACATTCAAAATGTTAAAACGTTAGTGGATCTGAAATTGCGCAAAACCTGAAATTTGCGGTTATTTCGTTATTGCGCCGCATATTTATTTGCAAAAAAAGTTCTAATGACGGGCCACCAACTCATTACATATCTAGATCAAATACTCTTACTGTCTACCGCAGTAGTAGACGAAACGTCAGACATCACTTGTTACCGAGAAAGGGATACCAACTTTTTGTTCAAATGATGCTATTCTACATAAATTCAAAAATTGAAGGGTTCGCTCTTTGTAGTATGCGTATCTAACCAGCTTTTTTCGAACCTGGATAAAACAAAATACTTTTCCATTTCAGGAGCTGTCAAAATTACTCCTGGCCACGACCATGCAGACTTTGATGCTGGAAAAAGACATTCTCTGCCTGTTTTGCAGGTGATTGACGAGAGCGGTCGACTCACTGTATCTTGCGGACAATTCCAAGGACTTCGCAGGTTTGAAGCGAGAAAGATCGTCCTTGCAGAGCTAGGAAGATTGGGATTGCTCAGAGGCAGTCACGACCATCAAATGATTCTACCAATTTGCAGGTTGGCGAAAAACTATTTCCTTGCTTTTGGTTCATTCCGTATCAAATCAGCACACTTAGAAATGTAACTTCTGAGTTGAATCCACTTGTTTTGACTCACGATTGTTTTATCGTGAGTATGAAATGCTCAATCCATACAAGAATTACAATAACTCTTGCTTTTGGAATACGAACTGAGAAAAGTGGAGAAAGTGTTTTTATATAATTCAATGTTCATTTAAAATATATAGAAGATTTTCACATTTTTTGTTTATAGATGGAGAATTAGAAAGCCAATACGAGTACTAAAGCATACTTTGGTGTTATAAGACTTTTGCATATGATGGAGAAATTGTGGTTATTTTCATAAAGCTTAGCAGCAGAGATAATTTGTTCTATGAGGATGCTGTGGTCTTGCTTTTCCGGCATCCTCTCTGCACTTACAAAGACTGGTATTTTACAGGGCGATGCTAAGAAACAAGTTTGTTGTAGAAATTTTAGAGAATTGTTGAGGTGCAGTATATTTTTGTTCCCTTATAGAAGCTAATCAATATTTTTGTTTTGAATAGTTTCAAGTGAGAATTAATTAAGTAAAAGTCGTCATCTATGGGGTCGACAAAGAACTAAGAAATCACAGAGCAAGATCAACCAATCAGTTTCGACGTGAAAAGCCTTTACACCAACGTTCCGGTCGAAGAAGCACTTCAAATCATACAGAGGAAGCTATCTGAAGACGGGGACCTGGAAGATAGAACGAACTTGCTTATAGTAGTAATTATGGAGTTAGTAGGATGCTGTGTACGAAAGTATTATTTTCGACTGAAAGACGAATTCTTCATACAAGATGAGAGACTACCAATGGGATCGCCACTTACACCAGTTATAGCCAACATTGTATATGGAGTGGTTTGAAACTCTGGCTATTAACCCCGAGTCTGATACGTTGATGACACCTCCATAATATGGATCCATGGGAATACTGAACTAGACACCTTCCTTAAACACATCAACAGCGTGAGACCTTCCATCAATTTCACAATGGAGAAGGAAGTTCACAACCAATTGCCATTCTTAGACGTATTGGTGAAGAGGACCGACACTGAGTAGGAAACATCTGTATACCTAAAACCTACACATACGGGACAGTATCTGAACTACGAATCCTACCACCATCAATCGACTAACAGAGGAATCATCAAGACTTTATTAGACTGTACTTTCGAGTTCTGTAATACAGAGGAAGGACTTGAGAAGGAACTAGGCAAGATCAAAAAATGATCTTCATCGGAATGGCTACTTCAAAGCGATGGTGGAACAGACTTTGGCTAAAAGACAGCGAAAGCCCCGCAAGGAAGAAAAGTCATCAAAACCAGTGCTTGCACTTTTCTACATCAGAGGATTATCGGAAAGGATAAGAAGAATTGAGTCCAAGTACATCAGAACCTGCTTCAGATCCGGAAACACTATCCGTCTTAGCCTCATGAAAACCAGGCCACCAAACGCGGACTACGATTTTAAGAATTGCATTTTCCGGATACCCTGTGAGGGCGGAAATCTTATATCGGTGAAACTAAGAGGCCATTGGATGTTCGCATTGCCGAACACAATAAACACACACGCAGCGAGGGGAAACCTGCAAATCAGGAATAACAGAGCATGTTTGGACCCATCAACATAACATCGAGTGGTCCCAAGCTGAGGTCATACACAGGGAGGAACTCTGGTTTAGAAGGAAATTCAAAGAAGCCGCATACATGCTGTCCAACAATGTATTCAGTCAAGCTAGCGTTGAGATACATAACATATGGAAATCCATAATCAAGCGAAAAATGGACCAAACGGTCTCCCGCTAAACCGGTGAAACAGAAGAGGAAAGAGGGGATAAGTGAAAGTACTCGAATGACCTATAAATAGTCATCACCCGAAGACTATTGTGGATATTGCAATCGAAACGTCGTGAAGTAATTTGGCTTAATATAATTGTTTTCTTCAGCTATTGTTTTTAATTTTCCATTTATAACGGAGTTTTGAGGGATTTCAAATCATTTTATATAATATCAGACAATGCGAGTCCGAACTAATGAAATTTATCATGAAACATTGTCAATCACCTTCAAACTAAGAATTCAATACTTTCCCTGATTGAAATGTTTCACAGTGCTCATTCATATAGGCATACATGCTACTTCTGAAAATTTATGCAGATGTTATGATATTTTTTGAAAATTTGGTAAAAAAAATTGTTTTCAAAACCCCTTATATATTGCTTATATATAAAAGGAAATAGAAGGATAATATTAGAAGAACACAACTTGAAACTCAATTCTGAAAAATCCAAAGTATTATATTTCGGTAGTAAAAATAATATGAACTTCTTGAAGAATAGTTTCAATCTTCAAATTGATAATACTCCACTGAAAATCTTTCGCATCCTTGAAACTTATTTACCATAATCGTCATATTCTTAGCTTCAAAATGAAGCGAACGTTGTGTGAATCACTTGTCCTGAGTCACTTTAACTATTGTGATTTTCTTTATGGACCATGTCTAACAAAAGTCGATAAGGATAGAATACAAAAAGTGCAAAATAGCTGCGCAAGACTGATTTATGGTATTAGAAAATTCACAGCTCATACTCCATTTCAATTTATCATGATTTTATAGCTAGCTATGTATGCACCAATAATTTAATTTACAAGTTATAATTTATATCTTATTTTATTTTATGTTAGTCTGATAATTTACATCTTGCCATCTTTTCTTGGGCTGTGTCCCTCTGTTGGTTGAGTAGAATAGCTTTGAGCTAGACTGCGCCAACAGTCTATGAATGACCCAATTATGTACTGTTCTAGAATGACAATAAAAGGTGTTTATTATTATTATTATTAATAGAAAGTTATATCTCCCCCAATGCTCAATTAGGAAACGAGCAATCGCAATTCGAGTAGATGTTTGCAGTGATTTTAGGTGTTCTTTTTTTTGAAAGGTAAAATGACCGTAATGTGAAAAAAAGGTTCATCAAAATCTGAGATTTGATAGGTCTGTTGATTTTACATGGAATGATCCCATCATAGAGTAAACTTCATAAGATTATACAGATTAACGTTATTCTTCAAAAATATGTTCGTTGATCTCCTTCATTGTCTTCTAAATCCTTTTTGAAGAAATAGGGTTTTTGTACGTAATCGTTATTTATTCTCAACCTACAAAACAGTATAACAGAAAAAAAATTATCGGTAATTTTAGGAAATTTTGATTCATTCTACTTAGATCATCAATCCTATTCATAATTTGTGTCCGGCATGCGTAACATCCGACAAAATTCTGCACATTCACCAACTACTCTCCCTCTATCATCATCCAACATTCTCAATACTGCGTCATTTTCAGCCGATCAAAGGACGTCATTGAATTGTTGGCCCGACCCCAGTGGTTCATCAATTGTTCCGATATGGCCGCAAGGGCGTTAGATGACGTTGAAAAGGGTAGATTGACAATAGTGCCATCGCGATTCGAGAAGACATGGCACGGTTGGCTGGAAAACATACGGTAAGCAAATTCCTCCCGGCAGTTGTCTCCCAATGGATTGTAATCGAATCTGTCATCATGTGGGAATGCTCAGTAATCGGAAATGTACGGGATGTTTTCCGATGACATTTTGTGTTGGAGGTAAATGAACATTGAAATTTTCATGCCCATTGCGCTGCAAATTCCCTACAAAGCTATCTACCAGATGTTATTTTAATAAATAGGTACGCCCTCATCAGACCTGGAAATTAGTGTTCATACATCCACAAACTGCATAAGTGTACTCATCATCCCATCAGACCAATAGTATCATTCCTAACAGTACCATCGTTTAAAATTTCCAAATTCCTTATGAATACCATAAAAAGCTTCACCAAATTCTCACTTTCGTTCAGTATCGAAAGCTGGCAGGAACTGATGAAAAACATCTTGAATATCCAGCTTCCACCTAATTCCAAAAAGGTTTCGTTTGATGTCACACATTTATTCCGACGCATTCCTCCAGAAGATTCCTACATAGACTCATAGATTGAAAGTCATTAAAAAATTATATAAACTCTTTAATTCATTCTGATATCTTTTCACAATTGCAAGTATGTCTAAACCAAAATTATTATTCCGAAGTCAATAACAAGAAGGCCTCGTAGTGGTAATCCTTCAAGTCGGAAACATCGACAGTTACAATCATATTTTCAATACGAAAACAAACTTCAATACGATAAGCTTTCATGGCCTCGCAATAAAGAAAACATATATCAAAAATGAGTTCGCAATTCACCACAAGTCAACCCATACAAACACAACCTGTCAATCATTCCAGTCACCCTCATCAACAAATATTAGCAGCTAACCATAACGTGGTCCACAGACTTGTCAGTTACTCGACAGAGTAACCATCATCATGGTGAATCCGCTTGTTTTGTTTTCGACCTTTTTTTCGCAACCAAGTGTTGCCCATCCTTTACACTTGGCTGTACCGTACTGACGAAGGCTAAATAGCCAGAAACACGTGTCTACGTTTTGCCCACTTTCATATGAGTGCTTGTCCAAAAAATTCCTCTTCATTGATAATACCATATCCACTCAATATCCCTTCTTTCATGTTTGATTTATATATATATGAATCAAGAATAAAATAATTCGTGAACACAACACTCAAAAAATAGGGCAAACCGCGGACACGTGTTTCTGGCTATTGGCCTCATCAGCGCGGTGCAGCCAAGTGTAAAGATGGGCAACACTTGTTTGCCGAAAGCAGGAAACAACACATACGCACGGAGTCAACAACAGAAGCCAACCGCACATTTGTGGTTCCAGTTAGAAGACCTAGAATTCCTAGGCTACATCTAACATGACCACGTAGGCAGCTATAGCTACCTGCGTGACATCCGGGTCCAGTGTAAAGATGGGCAACACTTGTTTGTTTGATTGGTCAAACCACCAACACTGACATAAAAACTTGGCAAGTTGACTTGGATGTCACACCAATAGGTGGTTCCACTTATGTTTCGCTTGCGTTTAGGCAGCTATTTTTTATCAAGTACTTTCTTGGTTTTTTCTCATTTTGTCTTCAATCGAGGACCGCCTGCCCGGTACTGACGATGCCCAATAGGCTGAAACAGCTGTATACCGGTGGCTCTTAAATTGAAATCAATATGGGAATGATCAAAGAGTACTTATCTAAAAAGTTACGTGAAACTTCAGCGCCACCAAATAATAAAAATTTCTTATGAAAAAAATGTAGTAAATGCGACGACTTCTCTTCCTATTGTATCAACTGAAATATTTTACCATTGATTGATGTATTAGTTAACCAAACTCCACTACATTCGAATGGCGTCTGCATCAATAAAAACTGATCCCTGGACACTGAAGTTAGTGATCATTGGTTTCGTGAATCGTCTGCCCCGAGAAGGCGTAATGAACTACATTTTCAAGGCAGGCCTTCGTGATCTTGAGATTCAAGAGTTGACCATGAAGTTCAATATTCAAAACCAACATTTTGGCAGAGATGTTTAGGTTTCAATGAAATCGCTGCTCATCATTCTCTACAACGTATTTAAATCCGGAGATCCTAAGTGTGCCATCTCAAGTGGGTTATCGGTTCCTCCGATAACTACCGGATAAACTTACCGGTGTTTTCGGCTTCAATTATTTATTTTTGATATGTGGAGAACTACTGATGACCTTACAGGCTCAATTCAGTATCATGATAATTTGTAGATACTCCAAAAGCAAAAGTCCACGGTCTCCGTGTTATCGGGGAAATTATGGGATATGGGATGCAAACTTCTATGGAGACGTGCCATTCCCAGTTCTTCAAATCAATTTGCTACAGCTCCTTCTGATACCACTTGCTCCTTCTGATTCCACTTCACTGCCCCGAAAAAATAGAGCAAGTGCATATGGTGCAGGGTGCTTAAAAATACTGCCGAAAATTTCTGGAAAATGGAAAGGTCACGGATTGTGGAGGCTATAGAAATGTAATGTTACTTACAAATTAAGAGTCAATTCAAAAGTAGATCTGTCTGAAATCTGTTACCATGTTACGATTGCGCACGGCTGGAATAATTATCGAAGTAGGAATGGGTCAATTGAGGCTGACTATGACGAGAAGCGCTCACTGCGCAAACTTTGCTGCAGGCAACCAGCGATGCAATTGAACCTAGGTTTGTGAAAACAAGTATTTGTTTAGTATGAACGAATTGGAACCATAGAAACTCTTCAAAATGCAACATATAAACATTGTTAATTGTCAGACGATAGAAATACGTCATCAGTCGTCCATATAATATTATAAATTGCTGACAACTATCGTTTGTATATCCTCTCGTCGATGTATCGAGAATAAAATAAAACAGAACACAAAGACAGATGCTACAAATGCAATACGCATTATATACAGACGACTCAGAAACCAAAGAAGGCTCAGGATGTGGAGTGCACTCCAGATCATTAAGCCTAAGTATTAAGTGTGGAATGGGAAAACAAAACTGGCTGGTATCTCAATCGCCACAAAAAAAATTACCAGAAATGGAATTTCTGGCAAAAACATAACAATCTGCACTCATAGTAGACAAGCCCTATTAGCCTTGAACAGATAACGTGTTACCTCAGGGCTAGCACTAGAGTGCCACCAAGATTCAGCCAAAGCCTCGGTAGATCATAACATTATCCTGATGTGGATTGAAGAGCCCGACAGGAGAAAAGGTAACCGCATTGCTGACTCTTCAGCCAAGGAAGCGGCTGGACTAAGAACTTTAGGACCCAGTGGCATCTACGGCTTGATAACTTCGACAATTGCGGAACTAGCCAAACGTTACACCCAATTCCTGAAGAGCTGGAATGACATCAAAGGATGCAATCTTGCCAAGATCACCTTGGGCGACCTTGGGAAGCTGGCGCCGAAGAAATATCTGGCGATGACCAGGAAAAATCTACTCTTAGCACTAGGATTTCTGACTGGCACTGTCAACCAAGAAAACACCTCCATAATATAGGGCTAGTGGACATACCTCTATGCAGGATGTGTGAACAGGAAGATGAACCTACCAGACATGTCCTATACGAGTATCCAGAGTTATCGTCAATGTGCTTGGCGAGTCTTGGTCTACACCTGCCCATATAAAGGAGATGCCTTCTAGTGATCTTTCCACCTTTCTGGAAAGGAATGGACGATGACCTGGGAGAAAAACTCCTCGAGAAGATGTACAATGGGTCACATGTGGCCTACACTCACCCTTCCTACTCTACAGATACAGAAAGCTTCGGCCAAATTCAGTTCATCCGAGAAACAGAATGATATGTCTATCACCCACTTTGTGGCCACGAATCATACAAGGGGTGTTTGCTCTAGAAATCAATACAAATTTTCAAGATCTAGAAGTCATCTGGAATAATTATACAGAAAACCGCATTTCAAAAATTCATTCGCGCAAGGATATCAAATACCCTAGTCGTCTCTATTTGTGAATGAGTTTATGTAAACGTTTATCACTTGTATAAGTCCCTCTGCGAAATAATTCATATTTATTAAATTGTTCTCTCAAACATTCAAATGAAATTCGTCGTCGCTCGAGTATACAACTGTCGTCTTTACAATATTCAAATATGAAAGACCGCGTTAACATGTTGTAACACGCCGCTACAAAGAGCTTTGAGGTCCTTCCAGAAAGATCCTTTGCATTCTTGATTCCCGGTAAACAAATTCAGTTTAATGCGAAGAAACACGGAATATTCAAACGTTGTGATACTTCAGAGAAATTAAGAATTTCAGGTAATTAGGAAGAAGACACGAGACCAACTAATCAGTTAGAAAGTAGGCAGTCTGAACCCCAAAGTGTTGAAAGATTTCAAGTTATCCAAAAGAAAGTAATCAATAGGGGAACTGGAACCTCTGGCGTAGAATGAATCTAGAACAAGCACTGTTCCCAAACACTAGAAATGCAATACTCTTCTCGACGCGCGTTCCACCAATCTCAAAAGCGTATTCAGGAGATGAAACACACTCAATGAGAGTATGTTAACAATACGGAATAATTGCTTGGGGTAATCGCAACGAAAATACCATGAAGATTCAGAACGACCACAGAAACGTATTTTAAAAATAGTTCATTGTTAACTACAAATTTCCAACCGATGAACTCTATGGTATTTCTGAAATGTGTGATCCAAACAAATTCATGCAAAAATCCTGATTATATGTAATCTACAACTTCATGTATATGTACAACTTCTCAGAAAATGAAGATAGAGAAACGTGTAACTGGAATAATATTAAATTGCTGACGTTTACGTGAATAGATTACTAACTCTATTTTTCGGATATTTTGATTGAGTAAAATTGGTAGTTTCAATTCAAACTGGCAAATAAAAATTTTTATTCAGTTTATTTATGAAATGTTATAAAGACAGAGTGAAAGTGTTGTTTAATTGCGAAAACAACGATAAAAATAAAAACAACAATCAAAATTAATTGGCGCTCCGGGGCGACTTCATTGATTCCAGTGGCACATTTGTTTTTCCAGAGTAAAATGAAATATCATACGATACATGTGCGTTGGGTATTATTACAGTACTCGTTTATATTTCGTAAAACAACGCCATCCACCGGACATATAACGAAAAATACAATTTCATTATCATTTCAGAGATTGGTGCATATCGAGACAGCTGTGGTGGGGTCACCAGATTCCGGCCTACTCGTGTCAAGTCCGTAACGAACCGGAGAAAAAGGTGTGGGTGGCCGCGAAAAACCAACAGGAAGCCTGCCGAAAAGCATCAAGGAAACTTGATGCCGGAGAAGACGATGTAGTCGCTACGCAGGATGAAGACGTGCTGGATACATGGTTTTCTTCCGCTCTTCAACCCTTTTCTTCTTTCGGATGGCCAGAAGCGGTACAATTCATTCACATTATTCTATTTTTTCAATCACTGTTGTCAATCCGAAGAAAATCATCCGTCGGCAATTCTTCGCTATTTTTCAATTAACAATACCTCAGTCAAAGCTGTTTTCTGGGTTTGTAGACAGGTTTTATGCCCGATGTTTCGTCTACGACTGCGACAGACATTATTAAAGGTGATGAGACAACGGATTGCCTTCACGAGTGTTATTTAGTGCAGGTAGCCAGTCGTCATTGATGTTAAATCTCTCTTTCTCTCGGTTGAAATTGTTTTTGCGTTGCTCAGTTTATATTGCAAAAAAATGTCGCCGACAAAATAAGGTTGGATATCGCGCTAGAAAACGTCTCGTAGAAAATTACCGATGGAACTTCCGTGTAGTAAAACGTGCTTGAATTGAACTCATAAAGTGAAAATTGTTATAAATATACAAACATATCAATATATAGGAGGGTTCGTAGGCTAACACATAGATGGCGCTATTTATAATTAATCCATATGATTTCAGTTAACCTCGACCTTCAAAAGTAACATTTACAAATTTCACAGCTTTGTCGGATAGAACATTTTGTAAGTTTAAAGAAAATAAATGAATAGGAATTTCAAGTCTCGATAAAACACTGCTTTTTGACGTAAATGAGTACTGTTGAAGCCAAGGCTTGGCTTGTTAAACATTATTCGGACTTTGCAACAGGATAATCCACCATTGAGAAGTGTTTTTCTGAGTTTAAACGAGGTAAAATGAGCACCAAGGACGATGCACTTCTAAAAACAAAAGAAGTCGATAAGATAATTTTGGATAACCGCAAAATGAAGTTGATCAAGATAGCTGCGGCTTTAAAGATATCAAAAGGGACAGTCGACTGACAAGGTTATGGTACCAGATCAAAAAATTAAACTGAGTTGAGATTTTAATGTACCTACTCACCTCTTTATATTTAGTACAATGCCCAAATTATGTGGCTCATTTTTATATTGAAATAATTTCATTTCATATTTTCAATATCCTCATTTACGATTTTTATAATTCATCAACAAAATTTCAACTATATTTTAGAATTTTCCATTATTGCGTTTACATTTATTTTTATAATGTTTTTATGTTGTATTATACTTACTATTCATTTTTGATTCCAACATTCTCAACAATTTGTCAGTAAGATACCTTTCTAGATAATAAAGTATTTTCTAACAACAAATATCAAGATAAATGCAGAATATACATGTATTTTTTCGGCGAAGTTTTTCGCGCGACGTATTACACGCTACCTTATTTTGTTGGCGCTTTTTTTCAGCTGGCGACTTTTTGATACCTGACACATTTTGGGACACCGTATGAACCGGCTCTAGGGGATAGAACCCACAGCTTTTATCCAAGAATTTAAAGAAGAACATCAAAAGAACAGGAACAGGAAATTACCATCAATAAATCCTGGCTACCTATACTCAATTACACTCGTGAAATGAGGTCTTTTATTTCTACTCATAGAAGCGAAGCCATGCCTACCACCAATGGAATGAAATCGGAGACTCAAACTGAGGACAATTCTAGCAGTTGAAAATATATACGCAGTTGCAGACGGAATGGCAGGCAAAAATCTGACGACCATGACCAACAAACCCGAAAAATAGCTTCGATACGGTTACATTCTTTAATTGACTATACCTTTATCAGTCAATTTCTGCTAGTTGTGAATTAATTTCGATGAGGAATCACCTCCTTAAATGTTTTACACTTATTCAGTTACACCCTGTATTTTTGGAAACAGCAGGGACAAAACCATAAAACGATAAAGTTATTTAAAAATTTTTCTGTATCGAAGAAAATTTAAAAACGATAATACTTTTACTGAACTAATTTTTGTTCGTGACTAATGTTTGTGTAGACGTAGCCGTACTTACTTCATTCTCCATTATTAATGATAAAACAATATTAGTAGTGTGACTTTATTGAACAAATTACTATTAAATCAGTAATTCTCCTAAAGCGATATTCACTTTAAGCTTTATTCTTATAAAACACCCTGTGTATTAACAGGTAAAACTGGAATCTGTGGGGTAGAATAAATTCAAAATGAGCACTGTTCCCAATCCCCAGAAATGCAATACACCACCAAGAGAGTATTGCATTTCTGGAGACCAGGAAAAGTGCTTGTTCTGTATATTATTATCAATATTCTCAACTCACATATCTTATATCTTTCCCCGCAGACTGAAGACCTCTCCAAACACTACCCACTCTCCATGATGGAAACCGGCCACGACATCCTCTTCTTCTGGGTGGCCCGCATGGTGATGCTAGGCACGCAGCTGACGGGCAGGCTTCCATTCGATAAGGTCCTTCTGCATGGTATCGTTTGCGACGCCCACGGCAGGAAGATGTCGAAGAGCGTGGGGAACGTCGTGGCGCCCGAGGACGTCATCAGGGGGATCACTTTGGAGGTAGGTTTTCATTCTCACGTCGTTCTATTCGAAATGCTTGCCATTGGCCGGGAGATCGATTGGGTAGAGAGAGGAATATATGGAGACGCTGAAGGGCTGCATAATTGACAGTTGCAATAGCAGTTAGTTTTCTATAAACTCAGGTATTTGTCAGACAGTTTGAACTATTGTTAATAATAATAAATGTCTTTATTGTTTACAACTAATAAGGTTCAACAGTTAATGAACAGTATGGACAAAAATATGAACAAGTTGGAAGCAAAAGGCGAAGTTCAATTTTTATAACGATAAATCGTTTTTAATTGCTCTTCCTCAAAAAGTCGCTGCGGTGAAGAGCATCATTATAAAATACTCCGTTCTACTGTAATCAAGGCATGGTATGATAAGAATAATAATAAAATAGATCACTGAGTTTCAAATAAATATTTTTTAAATCTGATTTGGAATCGCTGAAGACCACTCTTTTTGATTATTTCAGGAATATTATTATAGATTGCGCAAATTTGATAACTGAAACTGCGTCTGAAAAGTTCAAGCCGAAAACTGGAAGGCGTTAATAAACCTTTATTTTTAACATTGAGGTTGTGACCATCTGTCCGATGAGTAATTTTTCAATGCAGATATGTTGGGGTTTTGGTCAGTATGACTTTATGGAAGAGTACTGCAGAATGAAGAACTCCTCTATTACTCATATTCAACCAGCCAACAGTTTTAAGTTTGTGTTGAATTCTTTGACGTCTCGTTATCCCATAGATCAACCTCAAGCAATAATTTTGAACTTTTTGANAACAGTTTTAAGTTTGTGTGGAATTCTTTGACGTCTCGTTATCCCACAGATCAACCTCAAGCAATAATTTTGAACTTTTTGAAGGTTTGATTTATACTGACTAGTTAAACTTGGACCAAAGAGCACATCTGCATAATTGAAATTTGAAAGAACTGTTGCCTCACCTAATATTGTTCTCAACCTCAATGAAAAGAAATGTCTTTGACCGTATCATCAACATGAAATATGCACGTTGTAAGAGTATATTCACGTGTTTTTCAAATCTGAGATCGGCATCTAGGAGAACACCCAGACTTTTTGCTTCTTGAACAGTTGTGAGAGAAGTTTCATTTATACTAACATCAAAATCATTGAGTACAGTACTGCGATTGATTTTGGAGCTGAAAACAATGACATTGGATTTACTATTATTAATAATAAGACAGTGACCCCTGTGAAAGCTTTGAGATATTCATTTATTCGACAACAAGCAGTATCAGTCATTTGTGAAGGAAAGCTATAATAAATTTGAGTGTCATCAGCAAATAGGTGAAATTTGCAGTATTGAAGACTCTTGACTAAATTCGACCCTTGAGGAACACCACGGTTTAATGAAATATATTAGGATTCAACTCCGTCTATATTGACCTTTTGCTGACTATTTTCCATGTATGATCTAAAGAGCGAGACAGCACTATCGACGAGACCTATATAAGATAAAATTCTCAATAATAGTTTGTGACTGATTGTGTCAAAGGCCTAACTAAAATCCAATAATATCAAACAAGTACAATTATCGTATTTGATTGTCGATCATCTTACAGTCAATAATTTATAAACTTCATCAACTGTAAACTGTCAATCAATTACAATCGAGAGTTTCAACTGTCATTCAGCCATTCAGCCATAATCGTCATTGTGATTGATTTCAAATATTTCTTTCCAACCCTTCTTTTCAGGAAGTATAAAAGCATCATTTTTCTATTGTTGAATTTGCAAGTAAACTCTTTGAGTTTGTTATTTGGCTACATCCTCTGTCGGGGGTAACGAACTGGGTTGTATAGTGTTTTCAGAGTTATGCCAAATTGAAAATATAACCATGTAAGATAAATCCAAAACAAGCAGTGTTTCAACATAGAGAGAGACAAGAGAATCGGACAGGGCATATTCTACAATCAAGTGGTGATCACACTATAAAGTGGAGTGAAACAAAAATTGTCACCAATTAACCTGATGAAAACCCAAGAAAACTCAAAGAATCCGCATATATTATTTCAGCCGGTAATAAGTGTATTCCAAATAGCTCTGCTTAAATGGATCATACATGATTGTCATTGCAAAGGATAGATGTTGAAAACGGAACTATGAACCTAACCTAAATATGTATTCATGTAAACTATCGAATATGATATCTGAACATTTCATTCTCTTGGTGTGTGTGTGTGTTATAATTGTTTACAATCGAAGTGTTGTTCACAAGTGATTTTTTTTCAGTTTTGAAAACGGAAAAGGTTCATTTTCCAAACCTTTAACTATCTGAAGAAAGCTTGGTATAGAAATATCACTTTTTTTTTCATTAATAATTTAATTTGTAGAAGAGCTTCATGAAGCAAGAGCTGAATCGATCCCTTTGCGAAACCCTTCATCACTTGGAAGGTTCGATTGCAGCTTGAGAAATGGTTCTGATGCAGATTCTGTGAAATACGTTCGTCCTTACGAATCAGTAGACAGTTGTTCTGTGAATCTTGAGAAGATTTTCTCATTGATTCGGCCGTTACTTGATGAAGATCCATAGTAATTTCATAAACTATAACTCACGATTTGATCTCCACAAACTTGAGAAGAAAATTAGATTGGATGATTTAGGAAATACTTGTTGCATGAATAGCATTTTACAAGTGTTGTTCATGACAAAGAATTTCAAGAACGAGGGTTTTGCGATGAACGAGAATGTTTCCTACTTATTCACCAAACTCGAACAATTGTTCATGCAGTTGCAGTTTCGTAAGAATGTATCATCTTTCCTTCCAACCGATTTCCTGGAGTCTTCGAAGTCCACTAGATACTCGTTGGGACAACAAGAAGATTGATCTAAATTCTTGGAGGTCTTGTTGAATACTTTGTATGAGCAAAACAATAGCAGAATCAATACTCCTGGCTGCTCTGGATTGAATGATTTCGTACAGTCTATTTCGACTTGTGTTTGTACATCTTTTGCTGAAATAATCCCCACATGTTTACTTTGTAGTAAATGTTCAAGAGGTAGCAAAAACGTATGTGAATTTCTGGAACTTCAACTGGCGTTTCCTAATATGACTGCTAACCAGTCCATGCGAAGCTTATTGTTAAATCATCTGTAAATGGAACTGTTAATGGGTGATGATCAACTGTATTGCCAAACATGCGCCAAACTAACTGAATATTATAAGAAAACAAGTATAGCTGAATACCAGTCAATCACTGATGATCTTCAAACATCTAGCAGACCATTATTATGATCTTCATGCAGTCATTGTTCTCTGTGGTTCTAGCGTTGAATCTGGTCATTATCACGCTTTGGTCAAAGACGAAACGGACTGGTTTGAGTTTGGAGGCTATGGAGACACCCTACATTTTATTTGATAAAAGAAAGAACATTGGCAGATCAAGATCTTCAGACGATGTGGTGCTGCAGGTTTTCCTGTAGCTGAAAAAGCAAATGCGCCACTGGAATTAATGAAGTCGCTCCGGAGCGCCAATTAAATTTTGTTGTTTCATAATTTCATGACTTTTATTACTTTCTTCTTTAAAATATTTCATATTATGAATATCCTATTAAATCTACTTTTCTATTCAATAGTATGACGTATAATAGAATAACTGCAACCGAAACATTTTGGGTTGACCTTGTATGATATAAGAACTGAGTGGCTGGCTAGCTAGCTAGCCGTGAAGTGAAAGTGTGTCAATCTCGACTGGTTTATTATGCTGTGTGTGTGGATTATTTATAACCAGAAGGAAACTGTTAAATAAACAAATATAGCGGCTCAATGGTCTAGGGGTATGATTCTCGCTTTGGGTGCGAGAGGTCCCGGGTTCAAATCCCGGTTGAGCCCAGTTTTTTGCATTTCTTACCTCTCCACCAGAGTGACATTTAATGCCGTCTTCTTTTTTAATAGCGATTTTCGGAAAACTCGTTGTGATATTACAACTAATTTTGCGTACTTTAGATGGAGGTTGACCTGGAGGATGCCGAAATGTTTGAGAAACCACTCTTCCGCTATCCATTGGATTAATATATTCTATTTTTATAGGTGTCAGGTTTTCATCGAAACTATTTCGAATTATCAGATTGTTGTTACTCATTTTGCAAACTGTTACTCTTTACTTTTTAACGAATGCTCTTTTTAAAAGATACAGCGGGAACGGTTCACTTTTCCATCGCGATAAATTGGAACAAAATAAAGCATTAAACCGTGAGGAAAAAATGTTAAGAAATGAACAGTTTTTTACTTTAAGTGACAGTAGCCTACTATGCGAAAACATGATTTTCAAACATACAGGATGTCCTTGTGAATGTTCAAAATTGTTTTGATAATTACCTTCATTTCTTATAGGGCACTACAAAATATCTGAATAAATCACTTATTCGCACTTTTCACTTACTTTCCGGTAGCTCATTTTATTATTTCTGATCAGTAGAAATGGTTTCGGAGTTGATACACAACTGACGTTCTGTTTCCTTTTGAATCGGCCAAAAACTTAATTTGTGGCGCCAGCAACCCCCGCTAAATTGAAAAATACAAACATGCGCACGCCCATCCCTTACGAAAGAGGATAGTCTCACATAACCCTTGTAANCTTTCGTAGCAGTATTTTATGATCAACGCAGTCAAACGCTTTTGTAAGGTCACAAAATACTGCTGCAGCAGCATCTCCATCATTCATATTGGAATACACCTCAAACAGGAAAGAGAATATTGCATCATGTGTGCTCTTGTTGCTCTGGAATCCAAATTGATTTTTCCTTATAATGTTATGGCGAAGGAGAAATTCATTGAGTCTTTTCTTAACTAGTTTTTCAATTATTTTTGCAATAGTAGGAATAAGATATTGGTCGATAATTTGAAGGATAATCTACAGAGTTACGTTTATATAAAGAAATCACTATCGACAATTTTAGAAAGGATGGAAACCTGCCATTTCTGTATGAAAGATTGATTAGTGATACAAGAGTTCTGAGCGCTTCTATTGG